GGTAATTAAAAAGTGTCAACTAATTGAATGTGAATTAAATTTCACATAAATTGACACTCAACTATAATTAACATTCACCGGTATATACTGTACATACAGGTATTATTAGTATTATTATTTTATATACAGTACAATTCATTTATATAGTTATAATTAAAAATAAAATACAATCAATTTGTAATTCATCTAAATTTGACTCTAATTATACAGTGAAAAATTTTCGTGCAATTAATTATTTATTCAAATAAGAGCTCAACTTTTATTTTTTTTCATTTGTCGTCCATTTGTATATAAATTAGATTTTGTTGTAACTTATATTATTACGAGACAACTCTCTCATGAGATATGCATACAAATGAAATATTATATGATTTTGAAAACAACAACAACTTGCGAACACTATTACATAATAATAGAAATGTTTAATATTTAAAATTAAAAAGAAATTGCAAATATTTATTTGTTTGTTGTTTTAAACAAATTTTCTAATTATATAGTACTGTATGATTCAATATAAATACAGTTACTTTATGAGGATATGATAGAAATAATTATTTAAAAAAAGAGATGACCTCTCAATAATAGACATATTATTGTCTTCACAGATATTAATGATTATGAGGGTCAATGCCGGTAAATACATTGCAATTTATAAATTATTATTGAAATTATAAGTGAAAAGGTGAGTGACTTTCACTAATTAGAGAGAGAGAGAGAGAGAGAGAGAGAGAGAGAGAGAGAGAGAGAGAGAGAGAGAGAGAGAGAGAGAGAGAGAGAGAGAGAGAGAGAGAGAGAGAGAGAGAGAGAGAGAGAGAGAGAGAGAGAGAGAGAGAGAGAGAGAGAGAGAGAGAGAGAGAGAGAGAGAGAGAGAGAGAGAGAGAGAGAGAGAGAGAGAGAGAGAGAGAGAGAGAGAGAGAGAGAGAGAGAGAGAGAGAGAGAGAGAGAGAGAGAGGTGTATTTTTTATGCTAAAAAGAGAAGTGATTTGAAAAACAAAACAATTGACACATTCATCAAAAAACGATAACTGAAAACAAAAAAAAACGTCAGACCTATTGCTACTTAAGCACTGGTATTAAGAAAAAATGCAATCTTTCTCTCTTTTTCTCTTAACTTGTGATTTGATAGGATTTGAATTTCTGTCGACCGATAACTTCTATATAATCAGACTCTAGGAGTCAAAAGTCAACAACTATTGTATACAACTACTGTACTATAAGTCATATTGTATATAACTATATATATACTGTGTATCTGATACATGAATCATAACAATAACAACAATAACAACAACAACATCCCGGTGCTATGATAAGGGGTTTACTACATAAAAAAATAGTAGTCAAAAATATTTTTTCATATTGACTGATAGCTAAATCTACAGGTGTTATGAAGGGTGAAGTGAGAGCGCGTAGGCAGTGAACTACTAGTAGTGCTATTTAGAAAAATAGTAAGGATTACATGGCTTTATGTTTGTTGGTGTTCTCTCCCGTATATATCTGCTTAGTTAATAAACACTGGTGAGCACAGGTAGTAGTCCATAATTACATGCAATTTTCTTGATTTAATACATACACATAAAGGCATATATATATATACAGTATATACCGGTGACACTTTATTTAAGCCCTATCTATATTTTTCATATACGATATACTTATTTATTTCATTGTCATATCAAAGCTCAGCGACCCTTTCAGTAGCTTTCGCTTCTGTTGTTTTGAGTCGGCAATAGTGATAGTAATATACTGTATATATATATATATAAATTTATATGTATAGTAGTGCTCTGTTTCATGAATGGAAAGGAAAGGTAGATTTTTGTGTGTGTATGTAGTGTTCATTTGGGGGGATAATCATCAACCCAACAGTGGAGAAAAAAACAATGGCATTAATATAATAGTATTAAAGGGAAAGTCTTCTCCACATTTGAGGTTCAATGGGTTTCAAACTTAATGCTCACTGTTTTTGTATTGTTTTTACAGAAAAAAAATTTTTTTTCTAACAAATATTTTATATATATATATAATACATAATTTAATTGACACTCATTATTATGCTTATTATTATTATGATTTGATTTTTTTTGGTAAGCGCTAACTATTATGATTATTATATTTAGTTGTTTTCAACAAAATATATAATTATAATTTTTTAACACTTTCTCTCATCTGATGTTTCGTTTAATTGTTTTTTATGAAAAATACTTGTATTTTTGAATCTCTCATAAATGTAAAAGACATCATTAGTAGTAGTAATTGTGAGCAAATAATAAAAATTGCAATATATATATATATATATATTAAATTATTTAAAACTTTTTATGTGCGAACTTTTAATACCATTAGTAACTATAAATTACTGATTCTTAGGCAATAATTAATTACATATAAAATATATTTACAAAAATTTTTGTTATTTTTATGTTTAAGAAATATATATATATACACTATATTCAGTAGCTTTTTATTAATAATAATATTATTATTATTATTCTGTTTTGTTATTATATAATATATATTTTATTCAGTTTTTTTTAGTTTTTTCAAAGAAAAAAAAACTATAAAACTATTTCACTTTAAACAACACAAATAACAATAAAATTATAAAATATTATCCAAAAATGAGAACAACAAAAATTGCGACAAATCTAAAATCTCAGCAAATGATTTATATTAAACACAAAAATAATTTTTTTTATATTAGTTTGTTTTTACAATTTAAAGTTGGCTTTAAGCATAGTTTTTCAATTTAGCCTTTTAGCTCATTATTACTGTTATCATCTAAATGTGTAAATGGCTTTTAAAAATAACAGACAATTTTAATGTTAGTTACAGACAGACAGATAGATAGACAGAAAGGCCTCTTATTTAGCGCCCAAAACATATAATCTCTCCGTTAGTTTTGTTTTAAATGGGAAACCTTTATATAAAATCAATGACATAAAACTTTTTGTTATTATTATTACAACATTTCTCTTGTTGTTTCAAATGTTAATATTATTGCTATTATTAATATTTAGTTTGTTGTTGTTGTTGTCGATTTTCACATACAGTTACATTAAAATACCGTATAATAGAGAGAAAGAGAGAGAGAAAGAGAAAAAATATATTAATAGATACCTTAAGCAATGGCAAACAGATGTATGTACTGTCAAAGTCTATAAATATTTGTATAGACTGTCATATTATATAGATATCGAATATATACTGTATAAAAATTTGCTGTATTTACTGTAATACAGGTATAGAAAAAATACTGTACCAAACAACACACATACCATTTTTTTGCCATCATTTAAATATCATAAATCTCTCTCTCTCTCTCTCTCTCTCTCTCTGCCTGCCTGTCTGTGTGTTTGTTGTCTACTTATATAGTCTTTAATTTTTTTCAGAGAGTAACTAATTCTTAAAGAAAACAGATATTTTACGGCTTTCCTTCAAAAACTAATGCCCGATAAATAAAAGTTAACAAAAAAGAAATAATAATAATACAAATTCTTGGAAATCCAAAGAAATCAAAATTAATGCCGAAAAATGAGAATTTATTGATTAAACTGTTTTTATTTTTCTCTTTTATTTTATTTATTGTTGGCCAATGACCTGACCTAATGGCCAAATGGTGAGAGTGTTGTAGACCACTCTAACAAACATATAATATCAGTTTACAAATAATTTAGTGTTAAAATTATAGCGACATTAGACATAATGTACTTCTTATAACTAACAAATAAAGTGACGAGAGAAACACCTTTTTCTGGCGAAAAAAAATCATTAAGAATTTAAAGGTCAAGAGGAAGTCGACTCTGTCTATACATATTAGCACTCGTACTCTATCTCTTAACTATTGGATGTGAGAGCGCCAACTGTAAAGAATAGTACCGAAACTACCAACACTACTACACATAACAAAAACACTACCCGAGCTGTAAACAAACGACACACACACACACACACACACACAGAGAGAGAGAGAGAGAGAGAGAGAGAGAGAGAGAGAGAGAGAGAGAGAGAGAGAGAGAGAGAGAGAGAGAGAGAGAGAGATCTAATGTGTTTGTATTTCAGGAGGTGATCTCCTATTTTAAAAAATCTAATCATATAATCTAGTATTATATAATATATACATATATATATATTATAACAATAGTATCATAATTTTTAGAAATATGTAACACTTTATCGTTATTTACCCGAAATAAACATAACGCTCATAAATAACACCTTAAAAATATATAATAATTATTAGTATTAATAATAATAATAATAATAATAATTTGTACGTAACAACTTTTGTAGGAAGTGATAAAAATTGATGTTTAAATAATTTTTAACTTAAGAGGCTATTAGTTATATGAGAAAATAATTTAAATAAATTAACATTAGTCTGCAAGGGTTAATTATACATTTCACGTTTGTTTATATGTGTGTATTTATTTTACTAAATTTATTAAATTAATAATATTTATAGTAATAATGCTTATATAGATAAAAAAAAACACTTGACTTATAATAAGCAAAATATATTTACTTTTTTAAATAAAAAAGTGAAACAAGAGATTAGAAATAATAAAAACTAAAAAAATTATTGACATTAAAATTAATGGATTTTTAAGTAATTGATATAATTTTAAGATAAACTTTTGAGTTGACATCATGTTATCGGTTATTTAATAAAAAATATTTTAAATAATTAAAAAATATTAAATATTTCAAAAATATTTAAAATTTATATTTTAAATATTATAATTTTAATACATTAATTGCTAATATTAATGTATAGATTAAATACAAGTTAATATAATTGCTGTAAGTATAGGTAACAATTATAACAAATTTAAAAACTAAAATATTTGAATATATATATATATATATATATATATTTTTTGAAATTAATAAATTTATTATAATTAAAATATTTATAATAATAGTAATTATTATTTTTTACAAAGAAAAAGTTTAAAATAATTAAATTGTGTAATAATAATAAAAAATTTAAGACATACCAAATATATCTGATTGTGACTGTAATGCTGATGACGATGATGTTGGTGATGATGATTGCGCAAAACATCCAGCAATTATTATTAAATATAATGATAATAATTTTAATAACAATTGTCTACACATTTTTAAAAATATCTCTTTTTAACAATTATAATTTATAAATACACTAAACTAATATATATATATTGTTAAATAAATAATATTCAATTTATATAACTGTTTGCTAAAACAGTTAGCAAACTATTAATTCAAAAAAAAAACTTTTTTGCAAACTATACGTTCAGTAGGATTTACTGTTAGTTTTTCGAAGGGAACGTTAGGTTTGAGTGCTGTTTCCTCTCAATATAATTCATACACAAATGGTTTGTTAGCTTTCATACCAATCCGAGACCCATCACAACTATACCATTGGATTGAATGTGTGACTAAAAAACGGGTTCTTTGAGAGAGAGAGAGAGAGAGAGCTCAGGGCTTCCTTCATGTCTTTCCCGTTAAAAAGCTAGACATCTCACGACTGTTGCGTAAACTATAATATTATAAAACAAAAATTATAAAAAAATATTTCTACGAAAAAAACTACCGCTTTTAGGGATATGTATATAAATAAAGTTTATACCAGCCGTGATCAGCAAAGTGATTTTTGATTATTTTGATTAAAATGCACTATCGAAGCTTATGGTTAATTAAAATATATTTGATCTAGCTCAAATAGACTGTTACATATTTTTTTAATTTTTTAATTACTCATAGTTTATATATAAATATTTAATGATTTGTTTTTTGTTTTAATGTAAATTTTTATTAAGCATTTTATCTAATTTAATAGTATATTTAATTTGTATATTGGAACTTTTTTGTTTTTTATCTTGGTCATTAATTACGTTTTTAAGTAAGGGACCGTATAATCATTGTGATAACGGCTGGTTTATACTGTAAGAATCTATATTTGAAAATAACACATTATACTATATATATATGTCGTGGCGTGAAATTGGTATGAGTTATAAAAACAATTGAAATGATGTGCAGTCGATATGATTGGATTGAAATAAATGAAAAAAACTTTATTTAAAACTTTATGATTGAAAATTACATTTGATATGAGATACTTATATCTCATATATGATGTGATGTCTATAAGCATAGACTATGGTATACAATGCCCTACGTATCTATTGTTTGACATACATTTATATAGTGTTTGAACATATAATAAAATGTATTGAATGGTTGGCCACTGGAAGGTCAGTTTGACCCACATTTCAAAGTGTGGTCTTATTTTTAGAAATATGAAATATGTATGATATCTGTGTATAAGATATAATTGACATGAATGTATGTGTGTTTGTGTATGTGTGTGACAATAGTTTTAATTGATATTTTAAGGTATAAACTGTGATAAAAGTGGTACATAGGGTTGGGTTCAAAGGGTTGTTCGAGAAATACCGACAATAGGTTTCTAGGAATAGATAGTCAAAAGTATGTGAACATTGATTGAAATTTAGTTATATTTACTTTTATTAGTTTTTCCCATTAAAATAACTTTTCTATATTTACATCCCTGGGTTTTATGACATCCTTTCAGGTATGTATGGTCTGAGTTTGGATATATGGTATGTGTCGGTACTTTTGCCCTTCTTATCACAATTTAGTACATATGATATGTTAGATAATTTTTTTACAATTTTATATGGGCCACACATTAATGGATCTAACTTTTTACGCGATATTTTATTCTTATAGTCGACTAATACTAGGTCTCCTACATTGAATTCAAATGGATTATGATGTCTATCATAATATGATTTGTTCACTGTATGACTATCTAATGAATTTTTAAATGCATTTTTTCGCGCCTTATCTACTGTAACCTGAGATCCATACATGTAGTGGTCAAATGGTTTGACGCCAAATAATAAATAGTTTGGGGTGTATTGTGTTGTTGAATGTACTGTATTGTTGTATTCGTGTGTACAATGGTTTAGTAATTTTGGCCAACAAATTGATTGATTATTATCATTGATTTTACAGCGAAGTCTAGTAACTAATGTTTGGTTTATACGTTCGCATAACCCATTAGATTGCGGGCAATTTGTTGTAATAAACATGATTTTAATGTTGTGTTTTTCAAGAAAATTACAAAATTCATTGCTTTTGATACCTGTGTACCTGTCGGCCAGAATTAGTTTTGGTTTATGTGTTTGACAAACATTTTTGATTAATTGTATAAAATCCTTAGCACTTTGAGTACTGGAAGCGGTAGTCCATAGGAAGCGACTGAAGTTATCAATAGCTACATGAATATACTGTTTCTTTGAGTTATACCCGGCCAGACCACCGACTGTATCAATGGATATGATATCAAACGGTTGCTGTGCCGGACCTATTTGGGACAGTGATCCCAACTTTTGTTTTCTATTAATTTTATTTGTTTGACAAACTAAACATTTGGTTAAATAATCATTGATATGATTGTGTATATTTTTGAAATAATATGCGCTACAAATCAATTGTGTCATAGCGTGAGCACCTATATGACCATAATTTTTATGAACAATACTTAATAGTTTAGGGATGAGAGGGTCGGGTATGTATATACGTTTGGTGTCAGCCTTTTGCCTGATTATGATATTGTTTTCAATAATACAATGTTTGGGTAATGTTTTAATGAATGGTTTTTGTGTTTCAACTATTATGTCTGTAGTTATGATATTTATKGGTAATGTTTGACAATTATCTGTTAGCTCTAATATATTGAGAAATTTTGTAGTACAGTATTTATCATTACCTTGGAGTACAGGGTTTCTACTTAATAGGTCTGCACCGATATTAGTTTTACCAGTAATATACCTGACATCAGGATTATACTGTCCTATCCTGAGAGCCCAATTGAACAAACGTGTTGTCGGTTTTTTAATTGAGTTTAACCACTTTAATGGGTTATGGTCTGAGTATACAATCACTTGATTGCCGTAGAGATAATGATGCCAGTAGTCAAGCGACTGGACCAGTGCTAGACACTCAAGCTCTGAGACATTATAGTTTTTCTGATAGTTTAATAACTTACGAGAGAAGTAGCCTATCGGGTGTAGTTTACCGTCACTTTGCATCTGCTTAAGCACGGCACCGGTACCTATTTTGCTGGCATCGGTATAGAGTATGCACTCTTTATTTGCGTCATATATAGATAAGACTGGTTTGTTTGTTAGGTATGTTTTAACCCATTTGAATGAATTTTCACATTCGGTATCCCATTTAAATTGAGTATCTTTTTTGAGTAGATTATATAATGGGTTTAGTTGTTTGCATGCATTTGGTATGAATTTATAATAGAAATTGATTTTTCCTAAAAATTGTTGTAATTGTTTAACTGTATTTGGTTTAGGGAAATTTTTTATTGCAATAATGTTATCATTTATTGGTGTGTATTTGTTTTTAGTTATATAATGACCTAAATATTGTACAGTATTTTTTGCAAATTTACATTTTGTTAATTTTAATTTTATGTTTTCGCACTGTAATGCACTTAATGTTTTCTCAATATGTTTTATGTGATCAGTTAATGATTTTGAATGTATTATGATATCATCTAAATAATTATGAGCAAAATTATTTAAATTATGTTTAATTAATATGTTTTGGATAACTCTCTGGAAAATCATAGGAGAGTTCCTGAAGCCGAAGGGCATAGTTAGCCACTCGTAGTGTTGATTTGTTGTGACAAATGCTGTCTTATGTATATCTTTTTGATCAACTCTTATGTGCCAAAAACCACTAGTTATGTCTAGGGTTGTGAAATACTCACAATCTATGAGTTTGTCTACAATGTCATTGAATAGCGGGAACGGAAAATTGTCGGGAATTGTAATTTTGTTTAGTTTCCTATAATCTATGGTTAGCCGGCTTTTTGTGCCCTCGTCTTTTTTGTAAGCGAGAGTTATAGGGAAACTGTATGGACTGACACTTTTCCTAATGAATCCTTTTTTTAATAGTTTATCGATTTGGTCATCGATTACCTGTTGATCCGATGGTGAGCACCGATACGGACGTAAATTTATTGGGACATTGTTTGTGATATTTATTGTGCATTTTTCGGTGTTTATTAACCCGATGTCGTATTTATCAATTGAGAATATGTTTGAATGTTTGGTTAAGATTGCATGCAATTTGTTTTGCTGATCACTGTTTAAATTGTTTGAGACAAGCATCTCATTGGTATTTATGTGACAATTATTGTCAATGCATTGACTTTTTGTATAATTTGATAATACCTCATCTGTTTGTGTGATATTATTGTTTGTAAATGTTTGTATAATTTGATAATTGCTATTCATATGTAAATTGAATTTTTTTATTAAATCTAAACCTAATAGAAAATTTTGGTTAGATTTTTGAATGGCATATACTGTACATTCATGAGTTAGTGAACCTATGGTTAATGTAATTTTTGCGAGACCTAAACATGAATTTGAATTATTAATAGTTTTAAATTGTGTTATCTGTTTATTAAATGGTAGTTTTAACTGTTTAACTATTTGATCACTAATGACACTAACATTAGCTCCGGGATCAAAAATGATATGAAATATTTGTTTATTAATAATAGCATAAATTTTGATTAGTTTTTGATGATTAGGTCTCTTATTTAGTTTAAATGTATAGAATTGATGTCATTTTCTACAGACTCTGTGATGTCATTATTGACCTCAAAATTGTTAATTTTTTTAGCATTAGTTGTCTGTGTTGTGTTAGGTTTGCCTTTGTTTAGACACTCATTAGACCAGTGATACCGGCCTTTAAGTCCCAGTTTCTCACAGATAAAACAAGGGGATAGGGGTTTGCGTTTCGGTTTATCTGAATTTTGGTCATATTTTTGCTTTGCTATTGGTTTGTTTGACACAGTATTTGATTTAGCAATTGATTGGAAGCGCTTTAAGTTATTTTCTGCAGTTTTAGCTATTGTATAAAAATCTGCAAATGTTTTTGGTTTCACAGCTGTAAAGCATTCAACCATTTTTGGGTGTAAATTATGGATCATTAAGGGAATCATCTGAGACTCAGTTAGTTTTGCCGCTACACCTAATCGTCGCTTTGCTTCAAAGTACTCTTTTATACCTTGGCTTACATCATATTTTAAGTTTACAAACTCTACAATTGGTTCAATAGATTCAATGCCGAATCTGTACAGTAATTTATTTTTGATTGAATCAAAACTTTGGTTATCGAAGTTTTCGATATACCAATTGAGAGCATCATCTTCGAGATGATTACCTAATAGTATAGCCCTATCACTGTCTGTCCACTTATAATATTTTGCTATCATTTCATAGCGTTTAAACCAATTTTCTATTGAGATTTTATCTCCTAAACCTTTATATACTTGAATCTTAGGCTTACTGTTTGATGGCTTGATATGCGATGAATCGTAGATCTCGGTGTCGGAGCTGTCATCGATGTCCACCAAATGCTGAGTTGGGCGAGTGTTGTCATTGTTTGGCGGATCAACGTCTTGTGGAGATATGTTGGGTGTTGTTGTGTTTGTTTGTCTCATCKGTTGTGCTGTTGGTGTCGGTGTCGGTGCTGTTTGAGTTGACTGTCGAGTGTTTCTCTTCGGTGCCATTCTTCAGGAGTGCGATGATTGCAGCGATTGTTTGCTCGTCGATATGTTTGTCACTTTTGTCAATAGCTTTCACTATTTCTTCRGCTGATCTAATAGTTAGGTCGACGGCAACTGTTGGCACAACAAGTTTTTTACCGATTCTGTATAGTCTACTGAATATACCGGCGCTCACAATACAACTTGCAGTTAACAATAATATAAAAACTGATGCACTAATGAAAACTTTAAAATTCATTGATCGGGATTGTGGACACAATCCTGCCGACTATATGTCGTGGCGTGAAATTGGTATGAGTTATAAAAACAATTGAAATGATGTGCAGTCGATATGATTGGATTGAAATAAATGAAAAAAAACTTTATTTAAAACTTTATGATTGAAAATTACATTTGATATGAGATACTTATATCTCATATATGATGTGATGTCTATAAGCATAGACTATGGTATACAATGCCCTACGTATCTATTGTTTGACATACATTTATATAGTGTTTGAACATATAATAAAATGTATTGAATGGTTGGCCACTGGAAGGTCAGTTTGACCCACATTTCAAAGTGTGGTCTTATTTTTAGAAATATGAAATATGTATGATATCTGTGTATAAGATATAATTGACATGAATGTATGTGTGTTTGTGTATGTGTGTGACAATAGTTTTAATTGATATTTTAAGGTATAAACTGTGATAAAAGTGGTACATAGGGTTGGGTTCAAAGGGTTGTTCGAGAAATACCGACAATAGGTTTCTAGGAATAGATAGTCAAAAGTATGTGAACATTGATTGAAATTTAGTTATATTTACTTTTATTAGTTTTTCCCATTAAAATAACTTTTCTATATTTACATATATATATATATATAATTTGAGGGCAAAACATACAATATTTTTACTCAACAAATAATATTAAAGAACATTAATAATATGTTTAAAACATTACTAATTCATGATTTTTTTTGTTGATAAATTGATTTAATTTTAAAATTTTGCAAATAAGTTAGTATAATGAAGTTTTTACACTATTTTCTTATATTTTGTTTTTAATAAATGTATGTAAAAAATGATAAATTTTTACATATTATTCACTTCTGTCTGTCTATATATATATATATATATATATATATATATATATATATATATATCTCACTCACACACACACTAACCGTTAAACATAATAGCAGAAGTCCTGTTGTTTTTGTTATTTTGTAATTCAGTATTTCTATACATTAAATAATAGAGAGATAGATACAGAAAGAAAGAAAGAGAGAAAAAAAGCGGCTGAAAAACTACTAAACTTTTAAAATTAAGTATCAGTTTATGTCTAACCATAAGTTGTTTTTGTTGTTATTATCACAAAATTTTTTATGAATATACTTTTTAAATATCAAAATTACTTTCCAGTGTGAATTATATACAAGTTGTATAACTCTCTATATATGATATGAAATAATTAATATGCAAAACAATTAAATCATTTTAATTACTATTATATTCAGGAACTGACAGTCAATGCTTTCACCAGTTGGTTGCAATAGACAGAGTATACTGTACTTTACTATCAGTGTGTGTGTGTGTATGTGTGTGTTTGTTTGTATATATATATATATATATATATATGTGTGTGTGTATGTGTGTGTGTGTGTGTGTGTGTGTGTGTGTGTGTGTGTGTGTGTGTGTGTGTGTGTGTTTATCTAAAGTTTCAGCTGTACTGTATTTTACTAAAATTAATGTATTTTAAATATATTCGTGTTTGCATTTTAATGATTATTAATATATCTCTAATATTAAATATCGTACTAATATTATTACTACTATTATTATTATAATAAGTTAAAAACTGCATTTCTCCCGTACCCATTAGTACCGGGAGCAGGCATTGGGTGAGTTGAAACACATATACATACATATCATATCATACAGTAATATATGTTATGTAAAGTATGGTTAGCACACACGTGAAATATGTAATACATTTTTTTGCATACTGTGAACAAACATAATTTATAACATGTTTTTTATCTGAAAGTTTTGTTTTATAATAAAATATAAAATAAAAAACTAAAATAAAATAGACTTTTGATATGTTATTGACTTATAATATGGTATTAATCAAAGTCTCAGTTGGGGAGGATTTTTCTGATCAAATGTCAGATTGTTTTTATCCATCAGAGAAAAAATATCACATTTACTATAATATATTTTAAATATTTTCTAAGTATATATATATATATATATAAAAAAAACTTTATATATATAACAATTTGCACTCATAAATATAGCAAAAAATGAAATACTATGCAATAAAACATTACAATTTACAGTAATTTGTTAGTTTAACGAAATGTCTTTCAATTTTTTCACCTGTAATTCATTAGAAGAATCAGTGAAATTTTATCAGATATTATATATATTTATATACTATATATATATTGATAAACATTAACAGGAATTGAGAGATCAATATAAGAGATTGAACTGACTTTTTCCAAGTGAGTGATAAATAACAAAAAAAAATATTTTGTATTTAAATTACAAAAAATTAATTGAGAAAATATTTAAACTAAATTTATTAATATGGTATTTTTAGTCAAGATTTATTAATAGTAATCTGTTACTAGTGTATAATATACTATATATACTAATATATAAACAGCGGAACAACACCAAAAAAATTCAATTAAAAACTTTTTTTTTCTAATTTATCACAACAACAAAATTGAGACATTTAATAACAACTATTGCCAGATATTATATTTATGGATAAATACATTGAAAGTTGTTTTGTAATTATTTTGGTTTGATAAGAGATGAAGAGAGAGAGAGAGAGAGAGAGAGAGAGAGAGAGAGAGAGAGAGAGAGAGAGAGAGAGAGAGAGAGATCTAAAGAGTATTCACATTAATTAAGATTTTATTTTTTTATGGATGATCTCCCAATACTATGTGTTAGTAAAGGAATGGCCTGGTATGTTAGTGGACAGGTATATTGATTGGTATTCCTATATCTGTTAAGGAAGACTAATAATATGTCGACTAAATAATTGATTTGTCTATTAGTCTGTATTAATAAGTTAATCTATGATTAATAATACAACTATTGAGATACAAATTAAATATTGATTATATTATTTCTTAATATTGACCTCAAATGGGAAATGATTTTTTTCTTTCATATAATAACTAAAAGTATTGTTAACAAAATTTAACGGCTTCTCTATTCAATATATAGTATATTACTATTACAATGTATTACTAATATATAAAAATAGCATATTTAAATCAAATATTTTTTATTTAGCTTTATTTGATTGAAGAGTTAAAATAAAAAATAAAATTTTAAAGAATATAATAAATTAATTTAATTATATTTTTATTTTACAAAAAACAACACTATTATAATAAATAATAATAACAACAACAACAAATATATTTGATGTACAGTACAATAATATACACTGTATAATACA